CACATATGCATACGTAAGTACACATACAAACAAATGAATGTATTTCAATTCATAGCCACCTCTAACTAATAGTAAAATGACCTCTTCGAGTGCTGTTTGGAATTTTATTTAATTATGAATTACATTCAAATCGATTTCCCTTATAATTATTGTTGTTCGTATTTGCATTGCTTGTTGTTAGCGATGTTAAAAGTACTATTGTCCTTGTAAATCCACTTGCTTGGGACAGCAACAGCTGCAGTCAGTATCGTGCAATTGACAATGATGGATTCTATTTTCTACTAAAAACANGATACATACATACATATGTACATACGTATATACAGTGGCGAAAATATAAATAGAGAGGATATATTGTACCGTTATTTGGCTTCTTCCCTTTCAAATACTCACTGTTTATTATTTTTATGAAAGGGTTGCGCGTTATCTAAAAAAAACCACGCAAATCAAAATATCAAGCTTTGTACAAATTCGACAAAGTTCATAACAAATTTTCAATTAGATTTCTTAAAAACTATCTGAGCATGCAGTTTAGTGGAAGTTTGAACTCGCTGGGACTTACGGTTAATTTTTGGCAACTCTCTTTTTTAGGAAGGTGTTGCTCATTTTTTCCATCCAAAAAAAAATAGCCGAACAAATGTATTTTGTGTGGAAAAAATGTGTGAACAGAATATTGCCATAAATTAACGGTAACTCCTAGCTGCTCCAAACTTAAAATTGAATGGACTAAAAAGGCGACTCAAAAAAAATCTAAAAATCTGTCTAAAACGTTTAAAATTTTGATGGAAATGTGTTAAAATTTTTGGAATTTATATAAACGATCTAAAAATTTTGAGATTTTTATTTAACTGGGTTTTTTATGTAGTAAGCTATATTTTCATTAAAAAAATACAAAAAATTTTTAAATTAAGAAAACTTGCTGAAATGTTAAATTTTCAACATACATACATACTTTTCTTAGTGGGTTGAAATTTTATAAAAAAATTAAAAGGGTCATTTAAAAATATGGATAATTAACCCTGATTAATTATTAGGGATACAGTGGTTTTGTAGTTATGGCAATTTGGAAAGACCCGGTTTTATTTTACATATTTTCTATACTTTCTCTACAGTAATACTTACTGATAGCCGGAACTCATGACCAAAATTACAATGGGACTGCTAAAAAGCTCCACATACTTTCATATAGAAATCAATAAGGCAAAATGAATTCGATATATTTTGGATAACAAGTAAAACTCAAACCAATTAGTGAAAAATTCACACTTAAAGGGGTTCACCGATCTTAACAATCTTTGTCGGGAAAAACTCCCTGAATGATAATACACAATTCGCTGAACCAGAGCGAAAGTACAAATATAGTAAATTATAGACAGACCTTCTTACAGAATCTATCAACACCTTCGACAACTCTCACCCCTTGAATTCCACCATCGAAGGCCAACGTCACATTTCGCGAGACGAAAAGCTCGAAATGCTTCATAAGGTTCGGGATACTTTGACACAACTCCATTGTGTGTAATGTAGCAGGCTAAACCGTTCAGTACAATTTGAGTAAGCTGCCACGACGACACCAACGTATGCGGAATGAAATGTGAACAATATCTAAGCAGACTTTAAAAAATTCTGGTAAACACACGAACCAAACTAAGTATGTATACCAAAACCCACTGTTCAATCTTAACAAGCATTCCACTAAGAATAATATCTTTGTAAATTATTATGCTGAAATAATTTCCTTGAAAGCAAACGAACTCTGAAAATTTGCTTGTAAATTTTGTATACCGAAACTCAATGTCACGAAAAGTTACGTGGTTTTTAATTGTTTCAGAACCTTTATTTACACTTTCCGGCTTTACAGAATAGGAAAACAGTAGAAAGAAAACCCGCGAGTGTGTAACAAGAATGACAAACTGCTTCATCTCTGTGCAAAATCACAGCGTATAATGACAGTAAAGTACAAAGTAAGCAAAAACAAGTAAGAAAGCCTAAGTTCGGGCGGAGCCGAACATTAAATACCCGGCGCAAGTATTAAATATGTTTTCCACCTTTCCGAAAGCTACCGCTACATGATAAGCCGGGGTGTATACATTTTAAGTAAATTAGCGTCCTTAAATTTCGAAATATTGAAATTTCAAGCATATCTGAAATTTACCGTTATATGAAAAGCGGCCTCAATTTTAGTCCGATTTCAACAATTTTCAACGGTTTGCTTTTATGTGGCAAGCACAATAACCATACCGAGCTTGGTACAAATTGCTAGAACGGTTAGCGAGATACATATATGTGATCACAAGTGGGCGGTG